GGGACCAGGGCATGTGTGCTAAGATGTTAAATGTTAAAATCAGGGTGACTAATGTTCAGACAGGGTTAAGAACCCCTGCAGGACACAATTCAATTACCCATTCACCCATGACACATAATTTTGATGATAAATTTAACTAATTACTCAATGAGCCCCACCTTGACTACTTAGGAAGACAATCACCTCTCCACTAACTATTTAACTAAATTGGTTTTAGAGCCTGAGACACTGATAAAGTACCAGGATCCAAAGATAAGCGATCCTATAATTCTTATCCCGTAGTCAATTCACCTCTTCCTCCTTCCTCCTCGGTGGAGTTCAAGTGGCAAGAAGGAGGAAGGGGGCAGGAATCTTGAAGTCCCACATCTCAGAACATAATTGCAGCCCTCCACTAAGCTCCCAGTTTCGACACCATCTTGCCTTATCTGGTGCTGAGTCAGCCCTTGCCCCACATTCCTCAAATACCAGGCTTCCTGCTCTCTCAGTATGTGGCCAGCACTTCCCTGACAGATGCCCACAAGCTCCAGAATGGCTTCTTGGGGTTTCATTTACCCTCCAGACTTCTAAAATCTCAACTTTCAGTTGCTGTTCAGAAACCTGCTTCCCCCATTTAAAGTATTCAGGTCCCTGGAAGAAGCCGCCTCCCTTCTATGCTGGTTCTTCCCAAGGTCTCTCTACACTACTGTCTACACCCGGATGGCCAAGAGAGCTTGCTATTATCCGACTGTCATTCGAACAAGGAATATTGTTCGTTTGCCACTCCTGCGACCTGTCCCTCAGAGATTCCGCCCGCCCCTATCACGAGTTATAAAAGACGCAATGAAGAGCAACTTGTGGGTGGTCTTATCTCCTAACAAGCAGAAGTTTGCTGCCTTTACCTGGAAATCTTGAAAACTGCCAAAATGTGGTCGAGATTCAGAATGAGTACCTGCTGTCGGAAAATGGTGCCAATGCACCTGCGTCCCCTACACATGGTTAGCACTGACCTTCCGTTTGTAAAAATGCAAAAGCTGTGAAGCGCGAAGCTGAAGGGAAGGCAGTGCGATAAAACGAGGCATGCCTGCAATGGCAGCAATAACACAGGCAAGTCCTGTGTTCTGGGTGCTTTACATACATGCAAGGACTCTTCCACCAGCCCCTCCAGGAGGGAGGCATGACTATCCGTACCTCCATTTTCAGGGGCCAGTACACAGATGGCAAAGCAGGCACGAGGGGGCAATGTGACCAGGATTACATGACTAGGGTAGAATTGGGCTTTGGACCCAGGGACTGTGGTTTCTATGTCCTTACTCTTGGCCACTACATACATAGCCTATTATTTCGCCAAGGGGCCCTCGTGCTGTGGAGTGGTTTACACATTGGGCTGCTAACCTCAAGGCCAGCCGTTTGAAGCCACCAGCCACTCTGAGGGAGAAAGATGAGGCTTTCTATGCTCACAGAGCATGAGGGTCTCAGAAAAGGGCAGGGCAGTTCTACCCTGTGCTATCGAGTCACTATGAGCCAGTTATTGACTTGGCAGCAGGGAGTTTTGGGGTTTTAAAAAATATATTAAGACTTTATAAAAAAAATAATTTGCTTTCAAAAGACTATTCCATCTACCAACTGTTCCATTGATTTAAAATAACAGTTTAAAATATTGTGAGCATCACCATAAACTGAAGTTTCAAAGAAGTACACCAACAGCAGGTGCTCATTCTGCATCTCTCTATCACATTTCTGGGCAATTTTCACAAGATTTCAAACCTTATCATAATACTACTGCATATTTAATAGGCTATGGTGGTATATAAATATAACTTTCATACACACCGGGAAACCAAAAAAAATTATCACTTGCTTTTTTTGTGATATTCAGTTTATTGTGCTAGTATTGAACCTGCAATGTATGTAAGGTATGCCTGTATTTTGAGTTCAGGCCTTAAAATCTTGCTTTCAGGAAAGATAAGCCTTTCCAATCTCTCACTGATGCAAAGATGTTGTGACTGTATTACAAATTGTCTTTTCAATTGACTATTGACATTTCTGTTCTTTTCCCATTATTTTCTAGATTCAATAGATAAAATCTTGGAAATTGTCAGAGTATTCCCTGGCATTTTAGTTCCACTAGGAATATCATTTAATATTAGTTAAGCCTTATTGGGATTACAATATTATTTAAAATAAACCTATGGGAGAGAAATATTTAGGGAGGGGAAAAGATCACTCGCGACTTATTAAATTGAGATTTTAAAAGCCAAAAGAGGGAGGGAGGATTTATAAGCTACAGGTGACCTTTAAATGTCAGATGCAACTAATATATAAATGTAAACACTGAAAAATGTAATGTCTGGTAATAACAGTAAACTGATCAATGCAATTTTGTCTTCGGTTCTATGCTATTATAAATTATGTTTCCAGTCCTGAATATCAATAGCTTTTTGACACCTTCTAAGATCAAATTACCATGCATTAAACATCATCTAATTAATTCCCTGTATCTTATTTACAAGCTTGGAGCCTACCTCCAATTCTTGAACCATTTCATGCCCCAAATTTTCAAATATACAAGGTTAGAGAGCACAACTTAAAAAATGTATTCATCAACTATTTGACTCAGCAAGAAAATATGTCAACAAAATGTATTTTAAAAATTTGTCAGTAGTGTTCTTACTATTCTCTTTAGCCCGCCTTCAAAAGTTAATAAAACGCTATTTCAAAGAGGATCGGTTACATGTCTCTCGATTTTCCCAGCTCACTGTTACTGAGTCAACTGACTCGTAGCAACCACACAGGGCAGAGTAGACCTGCCCTAGGGTCTCCTAGACTATACATCTTTGACAGGAATAAAAAGCCTCATCTTTCTTCCACACAGAGGGCCTGACGGCTTCAAACTGGGGACCTTATGGCGAGCTGCCAACACATAACCCACTAGGCCACGGTGGGCTAGGATCATCACAACCACGAGGAAAACCAGATTGGGGTCGGTTCTCATTCAGCCTCTCCGGTCACTATGATTTGTTTCCCTCCTCTACCTCAATTCCATTGATAAAATGTTCACTTTGATGGGTGTATAGTTAGTACAAGGGATTTCACAAAATTCACGGGAAACTTTCATTAACTTTTAATTCCATACTAACAGACCTGCCATTGTATTCCAAAACCTGGCTGTTTGAGGCAACATAAACCTGTATCTCTGTCCGTGTAAAGGGCCTGGTCGGTTCCCCTGTGGGATGCTGACTGTAAGATGGGCCGGTGGAACTCCCCGCCCTCTCGGAGAGGGCAAGGTGGTGTCTTCAATTCCCATGAAGACGGGCAGCCTCGGAAACCAGAGGGAGCAGCTGTACTCTGAGTCAGGACCGCTGACCGCTGGTATTGGGTTGGACTTTTCCACAAGTAAATGTTTTGTGTGTATAATTGTTTGTGGAGAGACAGGGTGCACGTACAGACAGACCTCATTTTATGACATGTCGCTTTGTTCTGCTTCACAGATCACGTTGCTCGTTTCCCTTTCTACAGCGTGCAGGTGTGTGGCAGCCTCGGGTGACAAGTCTGTTTATGAGTCCACGTGCTCACGTCTTCTGTGTCGCATGTCGGCGATTCTCACGTTTCACACGCTGTCATCATGCCATTGCACAGTCAGTGGACGACAGCGCGGTGTGAACCTAACTTTCACGTATGTACTGGGAAGCCAAAAAATCCGTGAGACTCGCTCTATTGTCACACTCGCTTTACTGCGATCGTCTGGAGGGGAACCAACACCATCTCCAAGGTGAGCCGGTACTTTTTTACATGTTGGCTCTATGGACTTGGGAGAAACAGAATGACCTTTTATTTCTGGTGTGTTGGACAGTCTACATAGTGTAAAAAATAAATTAAAATGGCATCTACCCATCACTAGCCTCGCCAGCACACACATGTGAAAAAGAAGAAGCCCTTCAACAAGAGCGACACTGGCTGCATCGATGAGCGCTAGCATCAGGACTGTGCGGATGGCGCCAGGCCGGACCGGACCGGCGGTGTTTCCTTCGGCTGGACACGGGTTGCTATGAGTCGGAGCTAACTCAACGACACCTAAACACACACCCCCACGAACAAGGACGTGTGCCCTCTTCTGTTGGAGGAGGCAGGGCTTGTAAGATGTTCCTTTGAAGACCTAATACACGTATACAAAGATGTTCTTTTAAGTCCTCCAGAAAGTCACAGAGGCCCCCAAGCACCCGATAGGAGTTTAGAGGTCAGTGAGATCTTCTGACCATGACTTGCACACTGGGAAAAAAAAAAAAAAAAAAGGCCTCCTCAGCTTCCCTAACTTCCAGGAAGGACACTGGGGAGGGTCTGTCTCATTCTGATGTTCACCCTGGACCTGACAGCACACACACACACACAGCAAAATGCCCACAGGTGTGTGATCTGGGGCTGCAAACGCTCAAAACATAGACCTGTGTGAGAGCAGGCATCACCTCTCACCTGTGTTCCTGTCCAAGTCCCTGCAAGAAAGTTTGAGAAGGTGAAACTCCAAAGGTCCCAGGAGTGAGAACTTCCAAGGATGTTACTTGCCCCATGAATGTTCCAACTCCATAGAGCCAAAGGGGTGTGCCTTGACCAATCACAAATCACACCTGAAGTAAGCAGCACTCAGATGTCCCCTCAAACAAGTGCTAAGCCAGTGCATCTCTATAGTCAGTGGCTTCTCAGTCACCTGGGGACCCTGAGCCCTTGGAACCAGGATTAGGAGCCCAGAGTGTGCATTTCTAATGAGCTCCCCAGGTGATTCCATTACTGCAACTTCTTACACCTGTACATGTAACAGGGCCTGCGCGCGAGTGCGTGTACACACACGCACACACATACACACGTCACTTATCAGCAACACACACAACTGTGGCCACAAGCAATGACCAATCAAGCCACCTGGGTACTCAGGGGCTCATCAGGGTGGCCACCGGCCTCCCACCACCTGGCAGGTGCCTTGGCCTCAGTGCTGGCAGGTCCCCTGCAGCTGCGCCCCGCGCGCCGCTCACCTTCTCGCGGGTCTTCAGGTAGCGCTGCAGCGCCTGCTGCGTGAGCTCCCGGACGCACAGCTGGCCCTCCTTGCAGGGCACCACGATGCCGGTCCTGCCAAAGCACACGGTCACTTTCATCCTGGCCCTTGGCGACCACGCCGGGCCCGGCCGAACAGGTGTCTGTCCCGGCGCGTGCAGCCCCCACTCTCGGAAGGAGCCCAGCGCGGGTGGGCCCGGAGGCCCAGG